TGAAGGGCTAGAACGCAAAGAACTTTTTTTTTTAATATTTTATGTTTTTGCTGAGGAAGATTTGCCCTGAGCTGACATCTGTTGCCAATCTTCCTCTTTTTATTTGAGGAAGATTTGCTCTGTGCCAACATCTGTGCCAGTCTTCCTGTGTTTTGTATGTGGGTCATCACCATAGCATGGCCACCAACAGATGGTGCAAGTCCACACCTGCAGCAGAACCCGGGCGCTGAAGGGAAGTGTGCCCAACCTAACCACTAGGCCACAGGGCTGGCCCCAAGGAACTTCTTAACTACCTGAGTCATCCAATAGGGAAGGAACCATTTCATGAGACTGTATGTTCCAGAAGTTCCACAAGGACAGAGACTTTTGTTTTGTTCAGTGTTGTATTTCAAACTCCTAAACAATGCTGGCCACATAATAAACATTCAATAAACCTTTCCTGAACGAGTGAATGTTTTTGGAGGTGTCCAGGTTGAGCTGGAAGCCCAATGGATTTAGATGCTATAGAAAGCTAAAAGCTTTAGAAAGCTGGTTAGACTAAATGATCTAAGTATCATTACAACTTGCCCTTCTCCTTGATTTACATCAATTCCATCCTGAATCACTTTAAGCCTCATTTGCAGCCCGAGAAACTGTTATTCTTCCTACACAGCCTCTGTTCCACTGACGTTGATTACCACAGACCCCTACCTCATATCACCAACTGTTTTCTTAACCCATACCACAGGGGCATGCTCCACTGAAGCTCCACATAGACACGAGGATACAAATTTTCACACAATAAATACTCATGGGTGTGTATATCCAGAGTTAAGTACAGTTCTGAAGGTGCTAAGAAGTTTCTTCCCTTTCTTTTCTAGTCAGTTAAGTATACTGGAATATGAGTGTGTGAGAACAACATTTCTACAGGGAGACTCACGCACTTGCTCTAAATTATTTAAAAATCAATCAGTGAAAAGGTGAATTGCCCACAAATTTCAGAACCTCCACCAATTGTGAGAAATTGGCTATTTTATGCCTCAATGAAGGCAACACAAGAAAACTGGTAATCTCCTCAGCCTAGCCCTTTGGTGGTATGGTAACAACCCACTGCCTTGGCTTTGTCTCTTGCCACTTTTGCTCTTTGCCCAACATACCCTGTGCTCCTACTAACCTGCAGCTACTCAGTGGTGTTAGTCTTGTTCACGCAAGCTCTTCCCACGGCCAGGAATGTCTTCTTCCCAACTTCACCCAGCTAACTTCTATTCATCCCTCAAAACTCAGTTCAAGGGTCACCTCCTCCAGGAAGCCTTCCCAGACCAATACCCACCCACACTTCCATCTCCTACCCCCATCCCCACTCTCCCTCCTACTCTGTGTTATCAGAGCACTTATACACTGCTGGTTTCTGTCTCTATTTTCGCTAGTTGGTAAACTCTTTGGTAGCAGGACCCTACAAGGCACCCCTCACGGGTTAATTGCACGAATGGATGATTAATGAGCAAACTCATATCAACCTGCGGAGCTGACTGCCTTTTAGGCTCAGAGAATTTAAGCAACTTGCCCAAAATCACACTAGGAAAAGCCAGGACTTGAATGCAGGCCTATGATCTTTCCCTAACCATCTTGCTTCCCCACTGTGTCAGAGAACAATGCAACTTTGGCCACAGGTATTGTGTAACAATAGGAGCCTAGCTCCAAACATTCTCTTCTGACCAATGATCTACTTTTGGAAAGGGCCAGATCACTTCCCTCAACCTGAGAATGTTCTGCTTCCCAGGAGCCCTTCCGGCCCTACTACACCAAGGGCATGGCAGAGCTCTGCTGTTTTAAAGGAGTGGGGAGACTCCCCACGATTCACCTTACACAGATACCAAGTGTTCATTTTCAAATCAAATCCCATGGATCAACTTGCTTCTTGAAAAGAGGTGAGCAAGAGAGGAAAGTGGGTAAACACAGACTTGTTTTTATAATACCTGCAGGAATGTTCTTTTGGAAACCAAGTTTTATGGAAAAAAACCCTTGTGAAATAATTCAAGAAATAAAGTTCACCTAAGCCATCACCGTTCTCTGTAATACCACCGCAAGGGGAATAACGAAGCTTCAATTACTGGCACATTTTGTCCTACTTGTCTCACCTTTCTCATTTTAATTTTTATACTTCTCCTGGTAACCTAATTGCAGCAGTCCCAAGAGAGTTGTTTTTAACAAGATCAGACAGGCACCACTATTCTAAGTTTTAGAAAGTAACATAATTCATAAAAATATGTACTTCTACAGCTGAAAGTCTCATTTAAACATACAGAAGGAGACATACCATTAAGTGGAATTTGGCAAAGGTCTATTTCTCGGGTCCCACTAACACTCTCTTGGTGAAGCACCAAAGCGAGCCTTTGACCAGGCTTACATGGCTGGATAAGTGTCATGAGGAGGCTCAGGTGTGGAGGCCTCTCTCTGGGGTCTGAGAGACTAGGAGAGCTGCGCAATGGCCAGATACCCGGGTCATCTTAAAATATGCATCATTAACCAGGCTTTCTCCTCATCCTGGTTTAAGGCATCTACCTACATATCCACTCACCAAGCTCTAAGTGATCCCCTCTACGGTACCTGGTGTTCCTCTCTATAACTCCCTGTGTACACTCCAAGGAACACCCAGAGATAGGGGTTTCTAAATAGCACGTCTTAGACCGAGGTTGACAGGTAAGCATCCTAAATGGAGTGAAGCTTTAAACCCTAGCTTGGATAAGAACCCAGTTCCTGACTTCCTTTTTTTTTACCAAAGATTTTACTTTTTCCTTTTTATCCCAAAGCCATTCAGTACATAGTTGTATATTTTAGTTGTGGGTCCTTCTAGTTGTGGCATGTGGGATGCCACCTCAGCATGGCTTGATGAGTGGTGCCATGTCCGCAGTGAGGATTCGAACCAGCAAAATCCTGGGCCGCCGAAGAGGAGGGCGCGAACTTAGCCACTCAGCCACGGAGCCAGCCCCGCTGACTTCCTTTATGGAGCTTGGAATTCTGACTGGGAACCTCAACCCCCAAGGTTCTCACCCTGGTGTGTAGACAATCAGCTGCTTAACACACGCAAGTCACACAAACTCTGAATCCTAACACCCTCTTCCTATGATGAGACCACAGATGTGAAAATGCCTCAAAAGGCTGAAACCACTATGCAAACTGAAAGGTATTTGGAGCCCAGAACACTCCATGCTATTTTAGAACACTGAGGTGTGAACTAGCTCAGAGACATGTGCCTATGCAGGGGCAGGTGTGTGTGGAATGAAAAAGCCGGAAGGCCTCCTCAGCCAGGCTCGGTTCGTGGAAGCAGCTTCTTCTGGTTTCTTCCCTGATCTTCCCCTGGAAGTATGAAAGCACCCAGACTCTCCTCAGACCCTGGTCCCTACTACTAGCCTCAGATGCTCACTCTTTCCTTACAGCCAACACAAGAGGGGGAAGTAACCACGGACTCTGAAACAAATCTTCAGGTGCAGTTCACTCAGATATTACTGCTGGCCCAGAGAAAACTGAGGATAAACAATGGAAACACACACACAAAAATTATCACTAGCTTTCATCTGTGGACAGCCTGTTTTGTAGGTTAAGTTTTGCTTTTTGGAAGCAACAGGCTTTATCCTTCTGCCATGTACCCAGGCTGTCACCCAAACCTGTCCTACTTTGACCATGGGGTGAATACACAGAGAACAATCACTAACTTAATCTGTTTCTCTGACATACGTGCAATTTGAAAATACTAAGAAAGAGTATTCAACTGTAATCATATTATAATGATAATTACTTACATTGTAGTTTGTGGTTCACAAGGTATCAATAAATGCAAGAGCTGGGAATCTGGCACCAAATCCCATGTTCTGATACAACATTTAGGCACTACCTCAGTAAAAAACACCACCACAAAAAATATATGGGACTGCTCTAAAAATATAAAATTTTTAAATCTACTTTATTTTTCAGATCCTTCTGTCCTTTCTCTCCCCAGGCCCACCACCGGGTGGTCACTCTGGACTTAACAGAGGTCTCACCAAACTTCTACCTTCTGTGATACACAGCTTTACCCCTCCCAAAAGGTGCATCAACATTGGTCTTCAGGACTCCTTTGTATTTTGGCAAGCCACCGTAATATGCTAAGCTTTCCAAGAGTCTTTTTTTGAAAAGGTAGTTAATGTTTAGTTAGAAGAACATGACTTGGCAATTAAAATGTTCAAGTTCTATTTCATGCTACTATAATTTACAAAATCTCTAGTAAGTAAAGTCTGAGATATTTAATTAGTATTCCTCTGCCTAGCTGAAGAGGAATTCTAAGACATTTATTTATATTTCTCCTCAACTGATCACAGTGTTAGAAACATGGAACTATACAAGTGGCTATGTGTCTGTATGTTGAGTCTATCTCTAGATCATGGGTGTCTTAACCTTTCTTTCCTTATTGGAAAGAAAACCAACTACTGTGAGACTAACTTTATGAGGCTCTGGGAACAGAAAAGAGCATGCAGGCTGAGAATTTGGGAGAAAAAACGAATAGGAGGGGCAGCCTGGTGGCGCAGCGGTTAAGTTTGCACATTCTGCTTTGGCGGCCCAGGGTTTGCCAGTTCGGATCCCGGGTGCAGACCTATGCATTGTCGAGCCGGGCTGTGGCAGGCATCCCACATATAAAGTAAAGGAAGATGGAAAAGTAAAGTAGAGTAAAGTAAAAAGTAAAGTAAAGTAGAGGAAGATGGGCATGAATGTTAGCTCAGCGCCAGTCTTCCTCAGCAAAAAGAGGAGGCTTGGCAGCAGATGTTAGCTCAGGGCTAATCTTCCTCAAGAAAAAAAAAAAAAAGGAATAGGAAAAGACAAAAAAAAATCATGCAGAACACTCACGGTGGATCTTCCAAAATCACCCAGTTCTCTTATTCCCATGAATATAACCTTAAATGAGGAGTCATTACTTTGCAGAAACATTAAAACTAAAAACGAAAACCGAATGTCAAAGGACCCAAAACACTAGCCTTAGTGGATTTTACCTCTAATGCCAAGGCAGTCTTGTCATAAGCACAGGGTACTCGTTTCTGGATTGCTTTTGCAAAGACAGGTCCGTTCTGTGTGGATGGCAAAGGGTTGATCGCTGCCCCAGGAGTAGTGGAAACTGCAGGTAGAGGAGTTGTGGTCTGAGGTTGAGCATATGCATGAGCAGGTTCTGGGATCCCGTAACTGTTGGAATTCCTATTTCCATGCTTTCCGTGTGGTGAGGATCTCACGAGCTTTTCAACATAAGGGACGGGAATCATCCCAACCCGGCCATCTTTGTTCCGGGCACTCCACCACTGTTCTTCAGGCTTCTCTATTATCACCAGGATCTCACCCTTCTTAAAGGGCAGGTCTTCGGCATCATTCCCAGGAAAATCATAGAGAGTCCGTACATATTCCAGATTTTCTTCTGCTGTAGGCAGGCTGGGTGCTGATACAGATCCCATTGGTGGGCTCGGATACCTTAAGAGAGAAAGAAAATTAAGAGAAAAATCTCACTCTATAACACAAGTGTTTCAAACTTTTTAATAAACCATTCTCCTCTATAACAAATTATTTCCCTCCATATTCTCAATTAAGAAGGTTCTGTCACACTGTTTTACTTTCTGTTGTTTGTGTTGCAACAGAAGTTAATATCCTCAATTTGCCTTTTTAAATCACATGTCGAGTGTATACACATACACACACACACACACACACACACACACCCCATATCTCTCTTATAGGAACCTTTTGTTTACACACAGAGATACCTGGTCTGAATTTATTTTTAAAATCTGGAATAAGTTCAGTAGCTACGTTCCACCACACCCTCTTCCTCCTGGTCCTAATCTATGGCATGCACCCTGCACAGGAAAGCTCCTTGTGCACCCAGAGAGATGACAAAGGCCTCTGTCTGTGTCCCTCAAAATATACAAACCAGAAAAGGGTTCATACACTTGCCAAGTTAAAAAAAAAAAAATTAAGACCCATATTGCATCTTGTACAGGAATCACATCTGAGCACCAAAATGAAAACGTGAAAGTTTTCATTGCAAAACTCACAGGCAAGAGCATTCATCTAAGCATCAGTCCACAGACACCACCACACCCTTTGTTGCGCTCACAGATTCAACATGTTTTTGCCTTGTACGCTGTAGGATGCGCTCCCGGAGTCAGTTATAAAAGCACAGCCCCTGCTCTCCAGCAACACCTCATCTGAATAACACTTCTGCAAAAGAAGTATAGAGGTCTCTCTTCACCTAAGAAATGTTCTGAAAAGTTGCAAATACACCAAGTTTTGGAAAAAACTATTTTACCATTAGCCTTCCCCCCCCTCCAACTTTTCTGAAGCATAGAATCTACAGCAGATTAACAAACCATGGGCTTCATCCAAAGAGCCTGCGACTCTTCAGGAGGTGACAGCCTGCAGGACCATCACCAGGGTCCGCTCAGTCCTAGAGCAGTCCCGAGGGAGTATGCCAGGATAGGTTATGCCTTCCCACTGACTATGGTTTCCAATTTGTTTTATCTTTAATTAGCTCATGGCCATTCTCTTTCTTTCTTTCCCCCAAAAAATGATCTAAAGAGTTATTTCATGTAAGGACAGGTTTTCCTACGTTGAAGTATTTTAAAGTTTCCTTTATAAAGTGTCACCAGATTACAACATTCAGCACAAAAAAAAAAAGGAAAACGAGAGAAAAAAATCCCATAGTGCCTACCCTAACGTAACTACAATTCTTCTTCCCTTCTTCTCCCCTCCCAAGAGCCGAGTTTATAGCTTTCTTAAAAGAGAGTTTTGTGTATGCCTGCGGCAGTTTTTCTGCCTAACATCACACCACAGGCATCTCCTCACATCACTGGTCTTCACGATCACTTTTACAGCCAGCCAACATTTCATTCTGTGAGCCGGCTGCAATGAAGCATCCCTGTCTTTCTGGATATGTGGTTTTTCTTCCTCCTATTTAATCACCAATGTCACAAATTCTTTTGAGCATATTTTCCCTATGTTAGATTTTTTGTAGAGCCTGGATTCCCAGATTAAAGAATAGGAACATGTTCACAGCCCTTGATACATACTGCCACACTACTTTACAAAAGGTAGTCTTCATAATTTGGCAAAACTTACATCTTGTCAATGTAAATGACTAACTTCACAATAGTCAGAATACCACGGTGATCTAGAGCTTGATTTAAAACCTCAAAGACCTTATTAACAACCTGATAACTAAGGGGAAAACTGCTTAATATCAATATATCTAAAAAAGAGAGAGCAGGAGTAGTAGGAGCAACAGTAATAGCTGACACTTACGACATGTGCCAGGCACTGTGTGCAGACATTAAATTATTTAATCCTCACAGCAATCCTGTGAGGTAGATGCTGTTATTATCCCCACTTTACAGATGAGGAAGCCAAAGCAGGAGTTAGATTTGCACTCAAGCAGTAAGGTCCCAGAGTCCTTGCCATAACCTCTAAGCTAGTCAACCTCAAGGATAAACCCTGCACCTTTCAGGTGTATGAGTAGTCACGTCACAATGTGTGTGAAATGTTCACGACAGTTCCTGACTAGCACCGAGCATCCAATTAGCTCCCCACCCCCTTTAAAGTACACCTCTGTTCCTATTTCAAGGGCCATAGAGAGTCTGTGAAAAGTTTGGGTTGTAGTTCATAAGTCTCAGATACTTTACTAAGAGTACAACTGGTTCATCTCAGACCCCATCCAAGGGTATTTTACTGTTTGTACAGTGAAAAGGAAAAAGCAGTTAGTTCTACAACACAGACTGTCAGGACACTACTATAGCTTCAGTGGGGATTAACACTAGTAATCCATTTACCCAGGTATCCACTGGCCTTACTATGTACCAAGAACGTGAGGGACAAACAATTAATTAAAACCAAGTTCCTGCTCTCAACAGACTGCCAATTGAGTAGAAGCAGAGACTGGAAGGCAAAACGAGAGCACAAAGTGGAATTAATGTGTATCACGACAGAAGGTGAGGGGTCAAGGAGCACTCAAAGGAAGAAGCGCGTCTGCTAAGACTCAGGAGAACAGGCAAGCAGGTGATGCACAACAACCTGAAGACTACCCCTGTGAAGTTGAAAGATTTTGTGGAAGACATGCTTATATATTTTGGTTCTGCATCAGAAAACGACTAGAGGCCCAAAGGTCCAAACGCTCCGTTCCCCAGCTTCCCCACAGCTCACAGGGCACAGAGCTGGTTTCCACAAGCAGAGACCAGGAGCTTTGGTGGTGACGCCCTCCAGAGGTTGGCAAACTTGAAGGGCCAGTGCACGTTTGAGCCTCTGAGGGCTACATATGGCCTCTGTCGTATATTTTTCCTATTCTTACACAACCCTTTAAAAATGTAATAACCATTCTTAGCTCCAGTACACTCTACAAAAACTACCTGTGAGTCTAGCCTAAGGTTCCACAAACTACGGCCTGTAGGCCACAGGGCCTACCACATAGTTTTGTAAATAATGTTTGTTAGAAAACAGCTAAGCCCATTCACTTACGTATTATCTATGACTGCTTTTGCACTATAAGGACATAACTGAGTAGTTGTGACAGACTGTACGGACCACAAAGCTTAAAATACTTACTATCTGGCCCTACACTGAAAGTTTGCTGATTCCTGGTCTAGATAACTGGGTTAAAGGAGCCAGAGAGGACTTTTCCACTATCAACTCTCCCCAGGTGAGGGGGGTGTGTACAAATCTCATAAAGATGGAAGGTAGCTTATACTTTCTCCACCACTATATTGCTATCACGACCTTGGGGTTCACGTTCTGACTCAGTACATGCACATATATCCCTGAATGTGACATAAAAATCAATCTCTCAGGCCACATTCCTGACATAAATTCAAAGCCTTCCACCCCATGTTCTCAACTCACGTATTTATCAAAATCCCCTGCAAATTACATATGAGTTCCACTGTAGGGACGAAACCATGATGACAGGTCAGATATGCTTGCCCTTTCGGTTAGGCCCCATTCCCCAAAGAAATATGAAACATAAGAGTAGGACAATTCATCATTTCTCAATCATTTCACAGTTTATTCCTTGATCAAGACTGTAAATAGCACCCATCAACTCCCCTTTTAAAGTTTACATACTAAGAGTTTTCCAAGCCCCTTCAAACACATTAGACCCATGCTTCTCCTTCTCATGTGTCTATGGTCCATGGTACATTGAGTAGCAGGGCCTGGATGACTAACTGGTAACTGGCTTTTCTTAGCTAACAACAATGAACCTCTCTTCTTTTGGTTAAAAGCATTCTCACTTTCATGTATAAACCATAGATAAAACATTTTCTTTAGGGGCTGCCCCGTGGCCAAGTGGTTAAGTTCGTGTGCTCCGCCTTTGGCAGCCCAGGGTTTCACTGGTTCGGATCCTGGGCGCGGACATGGCACCGCTCATTAGGCCATGTTGAGGCGGCGCCCCACATGCCACAACTAGGAGGACCCACAACTAAAAATACACAACTACGTACTGAGGGGACTAGGGGAGAATAAGCGCGGGGGGGGGGGGGGCGGACAAAGAAGAGTGGCAACAGTTGTTAGCTCAGGTGCCAATCTTTAAAAAAAAAAAAAAAAACATGTTCTTTAAATCTGAGTGTTAATACCTTCTAAGCTTAAAATCTCCTTATTCATGCTAAAGTAGTAAAACAATCAGCTTCTGGTGGGAGAGAGTCTCAAAGGTACTGGTGATGTTCTGCTTTTTTAAAGGGGGTAGCTGGATATTGAAGATTTTTAAAAATTGTATACATGTCTATACATATTCTCTCGTATGTATGAAATACTTCACGATAAAAAGTTGGAAAGCAAAACAGCTGGTAAAAGAATCAATTCCAAGAAGACTAAGTACCTCTCTAGTGAAACTCCTTTTAGGTAAGGTAATCCTTTCTTCATGACTCAGTGGCACTGAATACTGAGGACCTCTCCCTTCCACCCCTGTGCTCTCCTTCTATGTCTGTCGCTGCCTGTCCACCTCCTTCCACAGCTCCTCTGCTTATTCCCATTATACTCATTCTGGGGATACCATCTAAGCTTAGACTCCCAAATCTGTATATTTAGGCCTCAACTCTTTTCTCAATAACAAACCCATCAGATTGCTAAACATCACCTGGCTTCCGTGTTGTAAACAATCACCTCCCTCACCCTGATCCTTTCTCTTCTCTTCATTAAAGGCACCATTCAAGCATCCCTGAAATTATACCTCTTCCCTCATCTTCTACATGCAATAGCCAAGTGAAGGCTGTCAGTTTCCACTTTACATTTCCAACACATTTGATATTAGTTCAGCTTCTCACAATCCCTTCTCCTGTAACAGCCCTTAATTAGTCCTACACTCCAGACTCTCTCTCTCCCTACCCAGTCCCATACCAGAGCAGTTTCTAAAAAGCAAAACTGACCATGACAATACTCTCTTAAAAACTCTAGATGGCTCCCACTGTTAAATTCATTTACAAAGCACAGGA